CACCAATTTTGACTAAATGAGGCAATTATCTAACAACTTCTTTGGTAGGATAGATTCAGTAAAATCTTGTCTATTATAATATGCTACTGCATATCAGACTAGCACTCGAGATTAATTTCTTGAATTCTTAGATTTGTTATTCCGTTTTGGGTTATCATGTTTTGCATCTGTTTTTCATCTAATTAGATTATATGTGGAGATATTGATATGAAAAGGGAGCTGCAAGTTAAAAAGTTCGACGTATACACTGCACTGTGCTTTAAGAACGGTTGGTTTCTTGTTGCTGACAAATTAGTTCACGTACAAATTTGATGATTCAATAGTTTTGTCTATTACTCTCTTCTCAGATGTTATGGTAGTTCAAGTTGTTTCTTTGACCATCAATATTTCAACTTCTATTTTTTTTTTCCTTAATAGTATCGAGTACTATCAACCCTCCCTACCAAACAAGCCATTTGTGTTTTATGATTTAGGAGAGGTTGCACTTGTGGAAAGTATTCAAAAGTTTGCAGGCTTATAGTTTTCTTTAGATTCAGAAGCGGAGAATTGGATTTCTTTAACCCATTTGAGGGGCAAACTTCTTGTTGAAACCCTTAATAGGCTGGCCTAGTGAAGTGGCTGGTCGATGTAAATATTCGACATTGATTACGTCATAACATGTTTCATTCACCACCGTCACCTCTTTCGGGCTGGTCATCCTCAAGTAAATACCTTCTCCCTTGTGTTCCAAAATGCTTACTTCTCTTTTATCAGTTTACCCTCTCGACAGGAAAGGAAGAGTCTAGTTCAATGACCGTTTATCATTTGTGCAATGTGGTAACTAGGCAATGGGTTGCTCTCCCTCCGATTCCCATGGATTCAGAGGCTGCATCCGTTGGCTTTTTATGTGATCCCGTGCCTTGTTATGTGTGCAATCAGGGGCAATTTCAGGTAGAATTCAATACAATTTTAAAAAAATATATATATCTTTAACTTTAATTCAAAGTGGAATTACTTTTTAAATTATTTTATAGGTCAAGCCTAGAATTAAGTTAACTTCTAACTGAAGCCATATAAGTTAATTTATAGTTAAAGCATGCAACGTTTTGTTTGAGCTGCGGAAACGAGTGTGGTGCTATCCTTTACATGTCCCCGGAAGATGATATTTCCATTGGAGACGTTGCTCTCGGTTTTTAAACGGAAAAAATCTTGTTGTAGTGTATAGTCTACTAGAAAATCACATTACTTATCGACTATAATACGTCAAAACAACAATACGGATTTCCTCGTCGAGAACTCACATTTTATTGAGGAAATCGAAATCTATGAAAATGAAATCACAAGAGTTGTGCTTTTGTCCTTCACATAAGACAGACTATTTCCCATGAAGTACATAAACGATCTACAATGACATATTTGATACATAGTAATGAACTAGACAATATACAATATTTTGACTTCTTTTTCTTCACGATAAGTCGACCTTACTCCACTATTATAATTTTCCAAGTACAACAGAAGACAAATCCATGCATTCCATCAAGGCTCTATTGCTCCACTCAATGCTACAATCTTATTGAATGCAAGCCCTTGCATTGAACACGATTTCATCGAACACGCTCTACATTGTCCATAATCCGAATGCATCATATTCAGTGATATTCATGTATCTCATTTTAAATGTACAGGACGCTCGCATTATGGCCAAGAATTTTGTACTCCGTGTCGAACATCGGATTGACTAGCCACCTTGTTTGAGCGGCAATATATTTCGACTATTGAAGCATAGTGATCCGTGCTCGGCATAATGCTATAACGTTCAGTCATGTAATTGAAGTACTCAAGGGCTGATTCGGGGTTAGTTGTTTGTAGGCAAGCACATAAAACACCTACCAACGTGATTGCATCCGGCTGAATGTCATCCATCTGCATCTTCGCGAAAAGAGCTAAAGAATCTTCACCACACCCGTGAACTCCAAGACTAGTGATCATGGAGTTCCAAGTTGCTAAACTCTTAGTTTCCATTGCATCAAACACTCGTTTCGCATTCTCCAGGCTACCGCATTTGCTATACATGTCAACGAGAGCTGTCCCGAGGAAAACACCAATTTCAAACCCGTTCTTAATTGCAAAATCGTGGATCCATTGCCCCAATTTGAGGCTTCCCAGTTCAGCACAAGCTATCAAAAGACTAACCAGCGTATATTCATTCGGTCGTACATTCTCAAGCTGCATCTTGGCGAACAATTCGAAAGCCTTCTCCGGTTTTTCGCTTCTGGCATAGCCATTGATCATTGCTGTCCATGAAACGACATTTCTCACAGGCATTTTATCGAAAAGATGCTGTGCAACATTCATTCTCCCGCAAGAAATAAGCCCAGCAATTACAGTCGTCCACGAGACGACATTTCTCCCACGCATTTTATCAAACACCTTAAGGCCGTCATCTGGAAACTGGTTCTTGAAATACAAATCCATCAACACGTTCTCCAAATAAACATCTCCAAAAAACCCAGATTTAATTGCAAACCCCTGCACCTCTTTCGCTTTACCAACGCAAGAACAAGCTAAACACGCCTTAATTACAAAAGGGAAAGTAAACTTATCTGGGGCCACGCCTCGGCATATCATGAGATTGTAGATATGAATAGCCCTGTACGAACGGCCATTAGAAGTGTATGCTCTAATGAGTAAATTCCAAGTGAAAGTCAGTGGGTTTTGAATTTGATGTAACAATAACGCCGCATAATCAATTTTTCTGTATTCGGAGCAAAGACGAAGCAGCTTTGTGACGATTAATTGGTCCTTATGGAGACCATTTCGAATGATTTTCGCATGGATTTGCTTCATTTGCTTAAAATTAGAGCATTTTTGGAGTAATACAATGGCATCATGAGCTCCAAAACTTGATGAAAAATTTCTTCTTGATAGAACATCAGGGGCACTGTATAGTAGGCAAGCCACCATTGTGTATGCATATATTTTGTCTTCTTATATTTATTTATTGGTTGGAGGAATGTGAATGCTGATAGAAGAGGGAGGAGTACTATTTTGTTTTTTGCTGATAAAAAAAAAATGAAAGTTATTTTTAAGTAATTTTCCATTCGAATACTATTTGAATAACTTACTTATAAGCTACTTTTAGGTAAAACGTAAACTTTTCTAAAGATAAGATATGTAGTGACACTTGTGTCAACACATAGTGGAGAAGCTGGAAACCGAAAATTGAGTGCATTAGCATAAATTAAAGTTTGTGTAGATCTCTCGCAAAACGGTGTATACTTTTTGTTTGGAATCTGCTAGGCTTGTCCATAAAATTGTCATTTCTAGACGTTGCCATCTTGTTTGGTTTAAGTAAATTTTTGGGGCCCACAATTTTTATCAACTTTTTAACCATACTTTTCTTTGACTTGAATCAAACTATTAAAAATTTTATTTTTAGCAAAACCAAACAGGGGGCTTATATTTTGGTTGGTGAAGAAATCTTGTGGAGAGTATGAATTTGATTGACATGCTTGAGCGTTTGGACATCTCATATCACTTTGAAATACATATTGAAGAACAACTATAAAGTTTTTCTTTAGTCTCAACACAAATTACGCAGACGATTGAAGCCTATGGCTCGTACGCTATTGCACTTCATTTTCTTACATTTAGCTAACATGGCAGCCTAATATCTTGTGGTATATTTGACAAATTCAAAGACAGCCTTGAGAGTGATGCAAGGGGTTTGCTCAGATTATATGAAGTAGCATATTTAAGAGTGCACAGAGAAGATGTACTTGATGTCACAAGGGTAAACCTCAGATCCATGGTATCACATCTATGCTCTACCCTTGGGAAACAAGTAGCGGATGCCCTTGAGCAAGCCTTCAATTTTGGGAACTCAAGAATTGAGGCACGCAATTTTATCCATCTATCAAGAAGATGAATTGAAGCACGAATTACTTTCGAGGTTCACAAAATTAGACTATAATTCAATGCAAATGTAGCATAAACAAGAGCTCTTTGAAGTCTCGAGGTGGTGGAAGGAGTTGGACCTTGTGACTAAGCTTCTTATCTTCTGGTTCATGTTTTGCCGATGTTATACTGATACTTGAATTTATAAACACGATCTTTACGTAGCTGAAAGAACTTGTGAGGACTTCCTACGTCAAGGCCAAGTGGTTTATTGAAGAATACCTTGATGCCTTTTGGCCTAGTACATGAGTAATGCATTTATACTCATTATTATCATACAACAACATCCATATTGGGTATGAAATCTGCATTTGAAAGGCTAAGCAACAAGCCTAAAATGCTCGTTGCCGGCCTCACCATATGCCAAGTCTTATGGCTGCCTACGAGGTATGAAATGCACTAATATTTATTTTATTTCTAAGAAACATTGACCCATCCGAAAATAAGCAATTTTGGGTCTCTATATCATGTTGCTTTCTCTAAATTGTCTCCTTGTATATTGGCATGAAGGTTGAGAAGGAGAGAGGACAAATTGCTACCGGCATGTAGATACTAATTCATGGAATTATATTAATGAAGAGTGTCTTAGACAAACTTCCTTTTCAAGAAATTTTTTAATGTGGATTCTCAACCTTGAATGCATCATAATTGTGGCTTGTAAAAACAACGAAGATGGATACCCTCAACTAGACAAAGTTCTAAAACCTCACACCATTTCTTTGTTTGTGGATCTTAGGGGTGGGCGCGGTTCGGTTCGGTTCGATTTTTTTCGGTTCCAGAAATTTTCGGTTCTTTAGTAAATGGAACCGATCGGGTTCGGTTCGGTTAGGATAAGTACTATAATTAAATTTTTTAATATTTAAAATAATAATAAATAAATACACATGAA